CGGACGGTTTTCACTGGAGCTTCTAGGCTAAGATAGACTGGGAAGAAGCCAGGGCCATCTGTTTCTTTTTTTTTTTTTTTTTTTTTTTTTTATTGTAATTTGGGTGAAAGGGCCATCTGTTTCTGAAAAAAAAAATGGCTACTGAAAACCTTATGAATAGCAGTGAAACACTGTCTGATATATTACAGGAAAATTTTATGAATAGCAGTGAAACATTGTCTGATACAGTAAGGGAAGATGAGCTCCTCAGGTTGGAAGATGCTCACAATACAATTGGGGAAGAGCTGCCTCCTCAAAGTAGAATTGAGCTTAATGACATGGATGGCACAAAGCTTTCCAGACCTTCATTTGCTGATGGGGCACAACTTTTTTGGGTTTTTGTTTTTGTTTTTGTTTTTGTGATTTGAATGAAAGTTTACAGAGAAAATTCACTTTCCATACAACAGTTCACACACACATTGTCTCATGACATTAACTACAATTTACCCCATTGCAACAGCTCCCCTCCCACTTCCTCCCGATAGTTACCTCTTCCCAGTGTCCATCCCTCCATGGGCTCCTGCCCCCTGAGCTGTCTCCCTGTGCATAAACAGCCCTTCTTTCTCCCATGATTGCTCTCTCCAAGGAGTGTATCTACCTCAGGTACATATTCAACTCATATGCCTGTCTTTTGTTTGGCTGGAAGCCACAGGTGTGGGTTCAATTTCAGACCTGAAGGGCAGCTAGGGACTATAGTCTCAGTGGTTCCACCAGGTTCTATCAGACCAGCAAACCTCATCTCCCCTTTTTTTTTTTTCCCAAATGATTTTGAGTTTTGTTCCACATTATTCTCCCTCTCTATCCAGGACCTCCTACATAGATCCCCCTCCGAGTGGTTGACAGTGGTACCTGGGCATCTAGTTCTTCTGGTCTCATAGTCATATAGGCTGAGGATCACATGGTGTACCAGTCACAAGGACCAAATATTTCCATGAATCTTTGGTTTTCTTCATTCTTCTTTGCTCTGGATGAGGAGAGACCCATCATTGCATCTAGATGTTGCTTGCAAGCTTTTAAGATCCCAGTCACTACTCACCAGAACAGGAAATAGAACAATGTTTTGTGTAGTTTGTTATGCCAATTGAGCTTGATGTTGGGGCACAACTTTTAATTCCTATTTTGATTTCTTATTTTGATAGAAAGAAACAGCTGCAACCTTTCATTAATAATCAAAACATGGAATGTATGAGGTAGGAATCTAGGAATATCGGAAGTTGTCAAAAATGAAATAGAACACGTAAAGACTGCTATCCTAGGCCTTAGTGAGCTGAAATGGACTAGTATAGAAGACTAGATTTGACACACAGAACACCAATGACCAAAGACCAGATGAGTTGTGGGATGTCATCAAGAACCTCAAAGCTAAAAGGTATTTCAAAAGATAGGAAAGGAAGAAAAGACCAAAATAGAAGTCAGAGGAAACTATGAAACAGCAAAAGTGAGGGGAGAAATAATGAAATTAAAAAGCTGAACAGAAGATTTCAAAGGGTGGCTCAAGAAGACAAAGTAAAATATTATGATGACATGTGCAAAGACCTAGAGTTAGAAAAACAAAAGGGAAGAACACATTTGGCATTTATCAAGCTGAGAGAACTGGAGAAAAAACTCAAGCCTTGAATTGCAGTATTGAAGGATTCCATAAATGACTCGATGGCAGTGAATTTGGTTTTGGTTTTTATGGGCAAAATATTGAATGATCCAGGAAGCATCGAAAGAAAATTGAAGGAATACACAGAGTTACTGTACCAAAAAGAATTGGTCGATATTCAGTCATTTCAAGAATTAGCATATGATCAAGAACCAATGGTATTGAAAGAAGTCCAAGCTGCACTGAAGGAATTGGCAACAAGCAAGCTCCAGGAATTGACAGAATACCCATTAAGATGTTTCAACAAACAGATGCAGTATTGGAGGCTGTTTTGGTTATCTAGTGATGCTCTGGTAGGAATATACCACAAATGAGATGTCTCAAACAAACAGGGATTGATTCTCTTTCAATTTTGGAGGCTAAACGTCTGAGTTCAAAATGCCACGCTCTAGGGGCTGGGTGAAAGCCCCTTAACCTTCGGCTTCAGGTCTGCCTCCTGCTCCTGGCCCACTGAAGCTAGAGTCTTTTCTTCACTCAGGCAGCTGCTGGGCTGCTGAAGCTGGCAAACCCAAGATCAACAAATAAAAAGGCAGAGTCCCAACACTACCAAACAACATGGCAGGCCACTAATTCAAGTCCAGAAAAAGTCCCAAGATTGGCAGCTCATGGCAGGCTGCTGAACAACAACTTGGCTACTTGCAGTGTTCAAGCATGAGACATTCTTCAAAACTGCTTCTTATATACGGGAAGCAGACCACATCCCTAAAACAGCTACTCAGCTGCTCCAGTAGATTCCACCATGGAATTGATTGCCATTCTCACCACAGGGAATAACTACATCCAACTGCCCAGCCACTCAACCAGGCCTGGCCAAGCTGACACACAACCTTTACTACCACAGAGGCACTTACACATTTATGTCAAGGAATCTGGAAGACAATTACCTGGCCAACCGACTGGAAGAGATCCCTATTTGTGCCCATTCCAAAGAAAGGTGGTCCAATAGAATGTAGAAATTATCAAATAATATTATTATCACATGCAAGTAAAATTTTGCTGAAGATAATTCAAAAATGGTTGTAGCAGTATATAGACAGGGAACTGCCAGAAATTCAAGCCAAATTCAGAAGAGGCTATGGAACAAGGGCTATCATTGCTGATGCCAGATGAATCTTGGCTGAAAGCAAATACCAGAAGATGTTTACCCGTGTCTTAATGAGCATGCAAAGGCTTTTGACTGGGTGGATCATAACAGATAATGGATACCATTGTGAAGAATGGGAATTCCAGAAGCTTAATTATGCTCATGAGAAACCAGTATATAGACTTTGTTCAAACAGAACAAGGAGATACTGAATGGTTTAAAATCAGGAAGGGTATGTGTCACAGTTGCGCCCTTTACCATACTTATTCAATTTGTATGCTGCACAACAATAACAACAATGCTGCACAAATAATCCGAGAAGCTGGACTATATGAAGAAAAATGCAGCATCAGCATTCGCAGAAGAATCACTAACCACCTATAATATGCAGATGACACAACCATGCCTGCTGAAAGTGAAGATGTCTGGAAGATGACTGATGAAAATCAAAGACCATAGCCTTCAGTGTGGATTATACCTCAACATAAATAAAACAAAAACCCTCACAGCTGGACCAATAAGCAACATCATGATGAATGGAGTAAAGTTTGAAGTTGTCAAGGATTTCATTTTAGTTGGATCCACAATCAACACCCTTGGAAGCAGCGGTCAAGAAATCGGTATCACATTGCACTGGGCAAATCTGCTGCAAAAGACTTCTTTGAAGTGTTAAAGAGCAAAGATGTCCTTTTGAAGACTGAGATGGGTCTGACCCAAGCCATGGTATTTTCTGTAGAGTGATAGTTAAGTTTGTGTGTCAATTTGGCTAGGCCTGGTTGAGTGGATGTAGCTGGATGTAGTACTCCCCATTATGAGACTGGTAATCAACTCCACGGTAGAAGCTACTGTGAGCAGCTGAGTAGCTGCCTTAGGGATGTGGCCTGCTTCCTGTGTATAAGAAGTTTTGAGGGACAGTCTCTAGCTTATGGCACACTTGAACCCTGCATGTAGCCGTGTCATTGTTCAGTAGCCTGCCATACTCTGCCAACTTTGGGGCTTTCAATGGACTCGAATTAATGGCCTGCCATGTGTTTTGGTAACATTGAGAATGTGCGTTTTTGCTTGTCAACCTTGGGCTTGCCAGTCTCAGTAGCCAGCAGCTGAGTAAAGAAAAGCCTCTAGCTTCAGTGGGCCAGGAGCAGGAGGCAGAGCTGAAGCTCAAGGTTGAGGGGCTTTCACCCAGCCCCTAGAGCCTGGCACTTTGAACTCAGACTTAAAGCCTCCAAACTGTAAGAGTAAACTCCTATTTGTTAAGGCCATCCCATTTGTGGTATATTTTCGGTTAGAGCAGCACTAGGTAATCAGAACATATAGCTTCATATGCATGTGAAAGCTGGACCATTGATTTTAGTGTCCTCTGACCAAAGAAATGGGTCAAACACCTGAGCATGGTAGTTCTATTTATTTCAAGAGAAAATTCTTAGTCCCAAGATTTCTTCTCTACTATTGAGTATTTCCGGAGTCCTTGGGCAGAGCAAACAGTTAACACGCTCAGCTCCTAACCTTCTGCCAACCAAAAGAATGGAGATTTGAGTCTACTCAAAGGTGCATATGATCTCCTTCCAAAAGGTCAATCATTGAGAACAGTATGGAACACAATTCTACTGTGAAACACATGCAGTTGCCATGAATCAGAAATGACTTTACAGCAAATGGTTTATTTATTATTTTTAATGTCCCTTCTGAAAGTATTCTCTTCCAAGATGCTTTGGCAGCATGCCACAATTCAGTTTCTACAAGGTCAATGCAACCTGTACATTCCATTTGTAAAAAGTTCCTTTCTTCATTGTATCAATACTCAATCTAAAAATCATTACCACCGCTGTGTTACCTCAACAATTTTTACAACAGAATAGTGAACCTTTTGTTATTGTGATGGTAGTTTCATACAATTCTGGGTTTATCTCAAATAATGCTGATACTATTGAAAACAGGAACAGTCTCCTTGCTTTTTTCATTTTATCTAATGAACACAAAGGAAAGGCTGAGATTTAAGGAAGAAAAGGTCATAAGCTAGAATCATAAGAGGGCTATTTGTTACAAACTTTAAGTAGATGCAGTTTGGTTAAGGACACTAGGCAAGAATGTCAAATCTATTTAAGACATTTAAACATATTACAATTTTTCATACAATGAGTGCTTATCTGTCATTGGGTTCCTTGTGGTGTTTCACACAGTAACACAGTAAGTTACAAGTAGGTAGAGATACACAGAATTGCATGCTTTCTAGCCTAGCTGTGATACAGAAAGTTACTGGTGTTATATGATACTGACTGAATTGCTGCTAAGTTCTGAGACACCATGCCGGCAAAAACACTGGTCCCAAGCATCAGATTCCCAGATACTGGTTCATTTTGTTTAAGGCATCACACACTGTGTTCAAATCACTGCGGAGGTCCTGCACCACGTTTTCAATACTTCTGGTGTCTTTCAGAATTTCAATACTCTGCGTGTAGGGATTGAAGTATACAGAGAAGGGACGGGTAATTGACTTTGCAAAGTCCCTGCAGAATAAACAGAAATAGAAGGATACGTGATCAACCCCCATTGGTATAAGAGAGGGATAGAAGGAAGAAGCAGAGCTAGAAAAATAAAAAGTGATTTTTCTCTACGCGGAAGCAAAATAAGTTTACCTCATCTTTTCTTTGGCTTCTTCAAAACTTTCTGAAACAAAGTAGGCTTCCTGGAAGGTGGTGATAAGGCATTCCTGTAGACAGGTTGTCTTTGGGTCAAAGGCTTTCACACATGCCTTGTCAGAAAGAGCATGCTGCAAAACATACCACAAAACCTGTTAAACACCATAATGAGACTTCCAAAGGGCCATGACATCACATTGCTGCAACACATTCAATAGCTCAGTATTCCTGCAGAACTACTCAGTTGCTAGTCTACCATGAAATAAAATGCTCTCCCATGTGCAGAGTAAATTGGGTGTGTTTTTGTTTGTTTATTTCTTTAATCTATCAGGTCCTGAGGGGTAGGGGGGAAACGAGATGCCAGTATTATTTATTATCAGACAAATTCATACTGAAGGACAGTTCAGAGCTATACCACAACCAAAATGGAATTTTAAATCTCTGCTATAAATAGAGATTATAAGCAGAGACCATAAATATGCTTATAAATTTATTGCTATAAGCAATGGACTGAAATTTCACTTAAATGGCAGAAGTAATAATTATCTACCTGGAGAGATAATTAGGGCTCTGACTGAACTATTTGTGGAGTCATTGCAAGATGTTTTGAGGCCAGGTACTGTGTACCAACAGAGTCTGGAGCGCGTCTGTATATTTGAAAGTACTTGCAAGCATTCATTTACCTTCCACGAAGTACAGCACAGCAATATACAGCAGATAAATATTTCCGGGGGGCGGGGGGGGGGAGCTAATACTAATAGTTAGAGCTATGCCCAGAGCAAGGCATTAGGAAAATGGCAAAGCTGGTGTAATTACTCTTTGAACCATCATTAACTACATTTTGCTCACTACATGACTGGCACTAAGAACAGCAAGGAATCAGGCATGACTGTATGCTCCAGACAAATTCAGTGATGACAAAAGTTTGTGGCCATTTTTTGGTACATGCCACATGCGCCTCGTATGCATGTGAGAGCTGGACAATGAATAAGGAAGACCGAAGGAGAATTAATGCTTTTGAGTTGTGGTGCTGGCGAAGAATGCTGAAAGTACCATGGGCTGCTAAAAGAACTAACAGATCTGTCCTGGAGGAAGTGCAGCCAGAATGCTCCTTGGAAGCAAAAATGGCCAGACTTTGTCTCACCTATTTTGGTCATGTTGTAAGAAGGGACCATTTCCTGAAGAAGGATGTCATGCTTGGTAGTGTGGAGGGTCGATGAAAGAGGGGGAGGCCTTCAAGGAGATGGATTGACATGGTGGCTGCGATGATGGGCTCAAGTATAGCAGGGATTGTGGGGCTGGCGCGGGATCGGGCAGTATTTCGTTCTGCTGTGCATGGGGTCGCTATGAGTCGGAAACGACTCGACGGCACTTAACAACAACAACAACAACCTGCTTATTTACTGAATCTTGGATCGATAGTTCTTAAACATAATCTGCTTCCGAATTACTGAGGAGCTTGTGAAAAATGCAGATACCCAGGCTATAATTTTATGCAGTAGGTCTGGGAGAGACTTGGACATTTATATTTTAAAGGTATCTAAAGTGACACTGATATAAATGGTTGTGAATGACATTTTGAGAAATACTTTCCTATATTCTATGTTTTCCTTAATCTAGTGGTAAATCAGTTGAGAAAGAGAGAAAGAGAAAAGGGGTAACTGAAAATGCCTTCAACTGAGAGTTACAAAACAGGGGCTGTAGCTATCTAATTGGGTAGCTGGGGGGTAAGGATTTCTGGTGCCCCTGTGGTTAAGGTATTGGTTTGCTAACCAAAAGGTCGCAGTTTGAACCCACCAGCTGCTCCTCAGGAAAGAAACAAGGCAGTCTGCTTCTGTAAAGATTTACAGCCTTGGAAACTCTATGGGGGTCACTATGAATTGACAGTGGGGTTGTTTTTTTCGTTTTGGATGAGATAAACTTTAAGAATTTGGTCTTTGTCCTTGTTTATTGGAGATAACCTCTAAAACCTTGAATTTTCCCCAATGATTGAAGTACCTAAGTCTTTATGACTCATGTTGGATAAGAGTTAATTGTACCAGAAAGACCCACCACATGATATCAACCTCCTGATATCAACCAACCTCAGGCTGAGAAGAGTTATAGAGTTTAAATTACATAATGAGGTCCCACTAAAGGCTCTAGATACAGAAGCTCCCTGGGTGTTCTGGTTGGTAATAGATACTGATGCACATGGGAGGGTAGTTTGTCCCTTTTTGGACCATGGAAGCTCTGCATTGGGAACCTTCCCAGACCTTGCCTTAGGCGTCACTTCATTTGTATCCTTTTTACTGTAAGACTATAATCATAAGTACAGCACTTTCTGTGAGTTCTGTAAGTCATTCTAGTGAATTATCAACCCCAACGGATGTGGAAAACAGCAGGTCATAACTGAGGGGTGCTGGGGACCCAGGAGCTTATGGTCTGTGTACTGAGAAAGTAGTTGAAAGCTCCAGATTTACAGCCAACAAGTCAGAAGTGAATGGAGTCCTGGGAACCTCTGAGCTTACGGTGGCATCATGAAGAGGTAGTGGGAAAAATATTCAATTTGTAGCCAGCAGGTCAGAAGTAAAAGTGTAGTGGGATCTCCTAAACTTGTACCTGGCATCTGAAGCCTTCGGAAGATTTGACAGTGTGGAGGACTATGCCCTTTAACTTGTGAGTTCTGACTTAGTCCAGGTGCTTATAGTCAGAGGAAGAAGTACTATACGTGCAGCTGGTGTCAGAACAGAAGTAGAACCAAACCAAAACCCACTGCCTCAAGTCAATTATGACTGATAGTGACCCAATAGGACACAGTAGAACTATTCCTTTAGGTTTCCAAAGGTGTAATTTTCACAGAGGAAACTGCCACATCTCTCTCTCACAGGCCAGCTGGTAGGTTCGAACCTCTGAACTTTTTGTTAGCAGCTGAGTGCTTTAACCACTGTGCCACCAGGAGGGGAACAGGATTGATAATAGAGTGATTAAATAAAAAAAAAAAAACTCACTGTCCATTCTGACTCATAGAAACCCCTCCTTGATTTTCCAAGGTGGTATCTCTACAGAAGTAGATTGTCCAGTCTTCCTTCCAAGGAGTGGCTGATGGGTTTGAACTGCCAGCCTTCTGGTTAGGAGTCAAATGCCTTAGGCACTACTCCACCAGAGCTCCAAATAGATTGATAAGGATCTGATTTTTCCAGCAGTAACCTTGGCAAATTGTTTAATCTCACTGTGCCTCCATTTCCTCAATGGTAAATGAGTTATTTGGGCTGGGTGATAGATAGCTGAAGACACTCTGTATTCCAGCCTCTGCAATCCACCCAGAATACTTTTCTATGTTCTAATCTCTAACTGCTAGGTTTCCTGGGGAGTTTTGGGGGCAGTGGGGGAGTCTTTCCTGTTCAATATTCTTGATGCATTATCCAACCATTTTTAAATGCATGGAATGATTTGCAGCCCTCCATGAAGAAGGCTGTGGTTCCCTAAATTTGAAAACCCAATGGAGAATGAAAGGACTAACACATAAGACAAAGGGTATGCAGCCCCTATCCTGTGTGTGACTTGCTTTCCCGCAAAGTTGCGTGGTCCAGATCAATGCACCTGTGAATTGGGGAATGCACAGGGCTTCTCAGAGTGAACTCATTTTTTTGGCCCAGAGAACAACTTCATTATGAACAGAAGGTCACTACACCTGCAAATACATTTGTGCTAGATTCAATGCTGTGCAGTGAACATCAGAGGATTTTGGTTCCACATGACTAATAATTCCATCCACATTTTAAAAACAACTTCACAGTTTCAAGAAACAAAATGTCCTTTTTATGAGAGCTGTCGCTCCTCTGCAAAGAATGACTTCATGTTGGCTGCCATGGTTTTCAGAATTAGAAGTCACTTTCTCTGCAGCAGCACACCCTGGCTTGCATTTTATCTATAGCACGGCATTCTAATTGTCCATTTACACATCAGAACATATAGGAAGGACGGTGGCCAACTCAGTGCCCTCAATCTTTCCACTCTCTCATTCTGGCAATAGGCACTGTGAGAAGAGTGGTAGCAAAAAAAAAAAAAAAACACCACTGCCATCAAGTCTATTCCAACTCAGAGGGACCCTCAAAGGGTTTCCCACACTATAAATCTTTACAGAAGCAGACTACCACATCTCTTCTCCTGCAGAGCCACCAGTGAATTCAAACTGCCGATAGATAGCAGCCCAATGCCTTAACCACAGTGCCACCAGAGCTCCTTTCAGAGCAGTAGCAGAACAAGCTAAAAGTACATTTAAGCCACAGCTCCCCTAAGGTATCCTGTTGAACCAATCTGACTTTTCATGGGGTCGAGGACAAGACCAAGAAGAGCATGAAACTCTTCATGCTCTTGAATACTCTTGCATACTTGAGTCTGCAATACAAGATAGGGTCTAAGCCATCTTAGCAGTCACTCTGTGTGGGATGCCTCCAGAACACGTGTGTGCAGTAACATACACTGTAATCAAAAAATTTCCCATGTGACTATTCCACTGGATACTCAGATGAGCTCATTTAGTCTGTTTTAACTGGTAAAGGGGGTGATAGTGGATAATGAAGAGTTCAGATGATTGTTCTCCTATCTTTTGGCTCTGACAGAATAAATGCCTATAAACTAAAAGGCTGAGTGCTATGCCTTAGACTTTAAGAAAAATCAATGAGCACACAGCAAAAAATTTGAGGCAAAGACTGTAAGGCAATATATAATCACATTTGCCTAATGCAATAGTCAGAGGGGAAACTGGGAGTTGATTGTTTTAAGTTCTCACAAAAGCAGTGGGTCCTCCAGGAGCCTAATGTGTCTGCTGCTTACCTGCTGGGGACTTTTCCATCCTTGCAGTATGGGGTCCACTCCCACTCTTTGGCTGTTACACAACTGGAGCTACTAATCATACCCAATGATTAGCCTGGAGAATGTAAGAATGTCCTACGCCACCCTGGATTTGGGGGAGCAGCTACTAAATGAGGGTAATGAATGAGGTGGCGATCACAACCATCCATTTACCTGACAGTGAGTCCTCCAGGGTGAGGAATGCCAAGAACAACCTACAGCGCATGAGGTCCTCTGTCTCTGAATATTAGAGCATGGCCCAAGGAGGTGCACCACAGCACCCATGTCTCCCTTG